ACCACCATTATTGTTTCCTCAAAAGACATCACCACATTGAATCATAAAATAAATAAAATAATGAATCATATCTATGAATGGTTTCAAAATAATCAATTAGTCCTTAATCTAAAGAAGACGCATGTAATTAAATTTACTTCGCCTATGACCATGGACTATCCATTACATGTGGAATATAACAATCAAGTTCTTAATATTGATGAAAGTGTTAACTTCTTGGGTGTGTGCCTTGACAGCCATCTCAAGTGGAAACAATATTCAGATAATTTAATAAAAAAATTAAGTACTGCAATTTTCATGCTTAGAAAATTGCAGCCTACGGTGAGTGGACAAGTTCTACGTATGGTTTACTTTTCTCATGTGCAGGCTCAACTTAATTACAGTATCATTTTTGGGGGCTCTTCTTCATTAATGAAAAGTATATTTACTGTACAAAAAAGAGCATTAAGAGTCTTGTTAAGATTAGGGCCAAAGAGTTCATGTAGGGAAGGCTTTAAGACAACGGGCATACTTACTGTCCCCTGTTTATATATATATTCCATACTCTTGTTTGTACTCAAAAATCCTGATATGTATCATGTGAATAATGGCATACACAAATTAAGTACTAGGTGGCATAATAAACTACATGTTTCCTTTGCGAGATTATCTTCCATTCAAAAGAGTGTGCATTTTTCATCCATTAGAATATTTAATAACTTGCCATACAATATATATTCTTTGAAAGACAATATTAATACTTTTAAACAAAGGCTAAAAGATTATCTTATTTTAAATGCATTTTATTCGGTAGATGAATACATGGCATACAGGCAAGCATAATACATTATTGTTGTCTTTCCAAGATTATGTATTATCTAGATTTGTTATATGACTGCTTTTTATTTTATTATTGTATTTTTATTTTTGAATTCTTGAATATTTTAATTGTTGAGACTAGATTGCATTTTGCAATGTTATTTTGCTGACGAATTCAATATCCGGTCCGGTTTCCGGACAATGATCTGTGAAATTATGTATCTATGTATGTATGCATGTAAAATAGTACCTGTGCAGGCTGGATATGTACATTATGGATTATTACATATACACTTACATGTGAACGCACTAGTATTTACACCCTGTCTACCTAGATGCTTTCCAATTTAATTTTGTCAATTTCTAACACAACTAACACACATAAACAACACCAACCTGAGCCTCAACTAGTTCGGAACCATATCAAATAGATGGCCGTTGTAGCATATACACGATACCGAGTGTTACCGAGCGTATAACTAAACGCTACATCGTGGAATCGTGGACATCGTGGATGTATTTGACGATTATCGGCGATTGTGGGCATTATGGGTATTTCGTGTGCTTCGATCCTCAGGCACGACGGGCGCGACCAATGGATGATCAAATAATAGGTCTGAGCGAATCAGAGAACAGTACTGGAGAATTAGGCATTTGTTTAGTCTGGAAGTTTTGATGGAGTATATAGTCCAGCCATTTTGTTTTAATATATGTGGTAAAAATAGTTTTATTTTCTGTTTTGTTTAATTATACATTACTTTCTAATGCATTCAACTTAAAATTATGGACGGAACAATCAGTTTAGAGTCCTTCAAAGAGAAGGTAAGATTATTCGGGTAATCAAGTTACATTTGAAGTAATTGATCAGTTATTCCAGGTAACCAACAGCTGATTGGGTAAACAAGATATAGTCTATTTTCATAAAAGGTTTCAATGGTTAAACGTATGGCGAGTTCTGATGTAGTCAGTAACATACAATAGAGATTAAAAGAAAATATTTATTTCAGATCGAAGATGCAGTTGCAATGGTTCATGCTATGGATGCTGAGAATAAACTTAAAGCTGTCCACTTCTGGAATATTGTATCAGAGAGATTACAGGATATTGTCAACCATTCTGTGGAAGATATCAGTGCTCTCACGTTTCAGATGGAAGGACAAAAAGTATATCAGTTTATCATAAACTATGCATCCCAGTATCTCATCGTAATATATTTGACAGATTAGAATGTTGTAGTAAACAGATTATGCATATACAATAGACCCACTAATCTGATAGTAACAAATCATGTGTGTTCATTACTGCCCTTGCTCCAAATGCATATGTTGATTTTTTCATCTTATGTTACTCATAAATGCGGTTCTGACTACAAGAAAGATGAAAAATCTAATTACGCCTAGAAGTTTTGGAACAGGCAGGTTAGTCTAATTTTGTATAGTTCATAATGGTGATGGTGAAGATAAGAGATTCCTATTTCTGTATGAAGTTAGTTATATTCCTTAAATTACCTTGATTTCTCTTAACCAAGCAGTGCTTGGATGTTAATTATGAACCTGTTGCTATATCTAGGTATAATGGAAATATTGATATTTTCAATAATAATAATAAGGGAATGTGCACGATGTGCATAGAGTAATTGTTTTTTATTCGCGACTGTATTCGGTTATTGATGTGGTTAAGTTTTTGCATATGGTAATGTGGTATCTACTGCACTTTTTATCACAGTGTTTACACACACATGCGTCATTTGCTTCGTGGAAACGTTCGTTCTTGCATATCTTGTGGTGGAATCCGTGTGTTGCCAACCTAGTAATTGTGTGTCGTAATTTTCTGTTGGGTCTTGTCCAGGTTCTGTCAGTCCTTGCATCAGTGCTGTAGAACTCTTCCCATATTTCCTCTCTTTTTTGTTTTCTTTCTTTGATAACTTCCCCTGAGTTTTTTGTGCTTGGCTGTTGATATCTGAGTTCTTCTGATAGGAAATTTCCCTGCAGAGTTCGTATGTTAGTCTGGATTGTGTGTTCTTAGGAAGCCCTAGCGCTAGTTTAAGGTATCTTGCCTTCACTTGTTCTATTTTCCGCAGGTTTGTTTGGATAGTTTTTCCCAGGTTATCTCTATACCATATAGTAGTACGGGACAAATTTTTGCATGGAATATTTTCATTGCTGTTTCTAGCGATAATAGTTGCAGGTTTCGGATGGTGTATATAGCTTTGATGGCTGCTGTGCATTTTTCTGTTATGTGTGTCATGAATGTCGTAGATGTAGACTGCAGTGTTAAGCCAAGGTATTTATATTGTTTTACTGATTTTATGTGTTCTCCATTAAATTTAATTTCATCATTTTTTCCTTTTTCTCTTTTCTAAAAGTCATTAGTTGGGTTTTGTTTTTATTTATTTGAAGTTTGTTTTGTCTTTTCAATTTCCTGATTCATACACACAGAACTTTGACAAATGTCTCCGTATCCTAAGAAGCGGCTGTGACCTTCCTTTTAGGGGAGGTCCGATGCTTCTAGGTGTTTGATATTTTCTATGACATCCATGTGATACACATTTTTTTAATTAGTCATAATGCAGTGGCAGAGTGTGACTGAGATTTTAATTGGAAGCCATGTCACACATCTGTATCTGCTTGTCCATTTGCCTGAGTTTCACCTCCTAACAAACCAAATGAGTGCAAATGAAATTTGATTTTGGAATTTTATGCTATAAATATCTGAGCAAATGGAAGTGGATAAAGGTCAAATCATGTATTTTTCAGTAGTGGTTCACTGACATTGACACACTGACAGCAGGCTTTCATGCAAGAGAAAGAGCTTACAAGGGTAGCAAAAGAAGAAATTCAAATATCCTGAGTTACAAGCTGCTGCATTTGTAATTTGTTATGCCTGTAAGAAATATGGAGATCCTGGTTTTATGACTGCAGCAAGAACTTCTCATTGTCCACAGAAATTTAATTGGACTGTTATGTAAAAGGAGTGAGAGAAAGCAGTTTTCAGATTAAAATTTGTCATTGGCTTCGACCATTCCTTCTTCTTTCATTTAATGAAATATCCTTCATAATCTTTCTGAATTTGCCAAAAAGTTTGTCATGTAAACAATGAATAAACAGTTTGGTTTGGAGAATCTTTAAAACAAAGATTCTCCAATTTTGAACATGTAGAAACTTTCACAGAGACCTGTCTTTAATGCATTGAATTCTCAGAGTGTTTATCCAAAATATATGCTGTTATAAAAATAATGTTATTCATGCCTTAATGCGTCATTGACTTCAGTGCTAAATTATAACATAGACTGAGGAAAGTGCTATTATAATCTTCAGGAAATAGTTTGTGGAGGGCTATGAAAAATCTGTAGCCAGCAGGAGCTTCAGTTGTTGTTTGGACAGCTCTGCATAGGATCTGTATTGTACAATAAAAACAGAAGGAAGGTAGAATCTGTCAGTTTTCTGTTCATCTGTGTCAGTGGCTGATTCATGTCATGTCTATAGAGGTCATTTTCTATCAGTGCCTAAGGTACATTTTGTGTAGGAACATGATATTTCAGTGTTGGAACTGCTCTGGATTTTTTTTTGTTTATTTTAATTGTGGCATAGGCTGATACTTAATATCTGAACAGTATGCTGAGGTTCACTACAATGGTCAAGCGGTTATCTTACTAGATTTCTGTTCATACTGTTCTCAATTTAGAACCAGGATAGCTCAGTTTGTATAGTGACAGACCATGGGCTGGAGGGCCATGGTTCAATTGCCAGCAGAGGCAGTTGATTTTTCTCTTCTCCATAGCATCTAGACTGGCTATGGGGCCCATCCAGCCTCCTATACAATGGCTGACAGAGCCTTTTTCCCAGGGGTTAAAGCCACCAAGGCATGATGCTGAGCATTTGCCTCCATCTAGTGCCAAGATCAAGAATGGAGGAGCTGTACCTCCACTCCCCTACACTTCTTCATGGTGTGGTGTTTAATTAATTAAGTGCAGAGACAACTTTGCCTCTTACCCTACCTTTTATTGTTGTCAATTTGATCCCACTGAATTACATATAAGAAAGCTTCCTGTAAATAGGTCCAGTCACTTGAAAATGGGTATTTATCCGTGGTACTAGATAAAGTCTAACATTGTGATGAGGTAGCAGTAGAATCTGTGATGAATCAACACACTGCAGTAGGAGCCTCACTTTAGCAGGGAAGGAATTAGTCTGATAAGTTTACTATCTATGTGATAATTTTTCCCATTTTTCTTTCATGTAAGCTTCCAGATTATATTGATGCCTCACAATTGGTATCCTTGGGCATGGCTCCGACATTCATGACAAGATATATATCTGACAGTGATTGTGCTGTATCACCAAGTGGACGGCGTGGTAGACCATTCAAACATGGTAATCCTTTTTACAATAGCCATTTAACATTTTTAGGTGATAAGATGGAAAGTTTATTAATAAAAGGGGCCCCACAGTCATACATTCAGTTGTTTAAAAGGTATATAAACTTTTAACAACTGGATGGATTCTGTTGAGATTAGTATAGTTGATTTTTAATGCTTATAATGCAGAGTTGCTTGTTCATCTTGTCTGTATATGTTAATTTTCATTTTTGTTCTTAAGTCATTCATCATAAATGTGTTTTTTGTTCTTTTGAACTGTGACATATTAATTAGATTTCAAGAAATGAAAGTAATAACATACATTAGTTGAGAAATTGAAGAGGTCATACTTCTTAGAGCCAAGGCCTATAAACACACAAAGAAAAGAAATTACAGTAGTAATATTTATTGTTGTCATTGTGTTCTCATGGGTTATGTACCATGTAGTTCCATAATTGGATACCAATGTTCTGGAGCAATATGCTGACTTCATCTTCAGGTCAGAATAAGCTTGGAGGCAGTATGTCTGAAACACTGGTAACCACATACAGTGTCATAACCAAAGATAATCTGAATTTTCAGTGAAAGCTTCAAATATCAAAATATATTGCCTTCATTTTTACCATGTCCAACCGTGCCTGGACATCTCGTTTGGTTTCTTCGATCTGCTCAGTTATTTCTGACCGGAGAGTCTGTTTGTCGTGTTCAACGATCGCCAAAATGTTTTCGACTCTATGTTGGATTTGGTCATCCAACTCTGACCGCATAGATCGCATTTCGGCCTTCAATTCTTCCTTGTCGGCCGTC